TATATATAATTTATATTATATATAAATGTAAATATTTTATATATAAATAACAAATATTTCTTAAATACATACATGCAAATGTGTGTTTTTATTTATATATATATACACACACACACACAAAATAATTACACGCAGTACACATAAATATATCACTCATGTAGACACAAACTTTTACTTTGGATGCGATTAATATCTTCCCAGCCCTACAAATTATGTACAGGATTATTATATTGTGCCTCATCAGACCTCCTTTAAAAGTAAAATAGACTTTTGAATTTTAAATGTTCCAGTGACACATAGGCCTATATAAAAGACTAATGTGTGCAATAATTTTGTATGATGGTTATTGATGGTTCAATCAAAAATGCATTTCAGTAGAATCCCTCAATATTTTGTCTTGTATTTCTGAATGCAGGGTCAATGCTGAAATACATGCAACCAACTCAAGGCCAGGAGGAACAACCTTCAACCAGCAGTTGCACCCAGGAACACCAGCCACCAACCAGCTCAGACTCTGCAACAGCACCTAGCCCAGATACAGATACAAGTCTGCACACAACTGCATCCGCTTCTCAAAGCAGAGTGAGTCCTGTCACTGAGGGGCCAAGTGATACTGCAGAGCCATATGTGCCCCCTCCAACTGATCCTGCTCTATGGTCAGCTCACATCTTAGATGCTGATCGTGTGGAAATTGTGCGGAGAGGGCCTTTTAAAGTCAGCTCTGATTTTAATTTCCCTAAGGGACCGGATGGAAGAGCATTTCATACTAGCCTCCAGTTCAAAGTTCTCCCAAATGGAGAAAAGGTGCACAGGAGCTGGGTAGTGTACTCTCCACAGAACAATGCTGTGTTCTGCTTTGCATGCAAGCTTTTTAGCACAAAAGATATAAAGCTGACTGCTGAGGGCCACAGTGATTGGTCTAACATCAACACCAGTTTGAGGGGTCATGAGTGTAGCCAAGATCACACACAGTGCATGCTCAAGTGGAGAGAACTGGACACACGGCTAAAGAAGGGCATGGCAATAGATCAGCAGGAGTTGACACTACTGGAGGCAGAAAGGAAAAGATGGCGAGAGATTCTCAAACGCTTGCTCTCAATCACTCTCTCACTGGCCTCAAGAAATTTGTCTTTTAGAGGCTCTTCTGACCGTCTTTATGAGTCAGACAATGGCAACTTCTTGAAGGAAGTAGAGCTTATGGCAACATATGACCCTGTAATGGAAAATCATTTGGCCAGAATAAAAGATGAGAGTTCCCACACACATTACCTCAGCCATGAGATCCAAAACGAACTAATTCAGATCGTCTCTTCAGAGACACTACGCACCATTGTGAGACAAATCCATTTGGCCAAATATTTCTCCATCATTCTTGACTGCACTCCAGATGTGAGTCACAAGGAACAGATGTCAGTCATAGTGCGCATTGTCTGTTTCCAACTGCAACCAGACATTAAAGAATACTTTCTAGGATATATTGATGTGGAGAAAACTACTGGCCTTAACCTGTCCAATGTTGTCCTTGAGAAATTGAAGGAGCTTGGCATTCCTTTTGAAAATTGTCAAGGACAGGCCTATGACAATGGAGCCAACATGAGAGGGAAGAAGCAAGGTGTTCAAACAGGACTGCTACAGTTGAACCCAAGAGCATTGTTTGTCCCTTGTGGAGCTCACACTATGAACCTTGTCATAGCTGATGCTGCCAAGTCCTCACAAGATGCCACTGGCTACTTTGGGTATTTGCAGAAGCTGTTCAATTTCTTCTCCGGTGCCACCCAGCGATGGTCCATTTTAACAAAACATGTTAAACTCACTCTGAAATCTTGGAGTGACGTTAGATGGGAGAGTAGGCTTCAGAGTGTAACAGCTGTCCGAAATCAAACAAAGGAAGTGAGAGATGCTCTCCTGGAGGCAAGGGAGGCTGTTAATGATCCAGTGGCAAAAGTGGAGGCTCAAGCTCTTGCTGAGGAAGTAGCCTCATTTCGTTTTGTGATTTGCTCTGTTGTATGGTGTGAACTACTTACCATTACAAACCAGGTGAACAAGCTACTGCAATCCAGTTCCATGCAGCTTGATGTTGCTGTCAGGCTCATTGACAGTACCAAAATCAACCTCTCCAAATACAGACAATCTGGGTTTGATGAGGCTGTGTCAACTGCCAAGGAACTCTGTGAGGCCCTGAATATAGAAACAGAGCTTAAGGAGAAAAGGGTCAGGAGCACAAAAAGGCACTTTGCATACGAAGCTGCTGATGAGCCCCTCAATGATGCCCTTAAAAAGCTTGAAGTCACATTTTTCAATTGTGTCGTGGACTCTGCTTTAATGTCCCTACAGGAGAGGTTTGAGACCATGAATCAAGTCAAAGAAAAATATGGAGTTCTGCTTGACTTCAGTAAAGTGAATGGAATGTCCAAGGAGGACTTGAAGAGACACTGCAATGAATTCCAAAAGACAATGACGGATAAGGAACTGGCTGACGTTGATGGACCTGAGATGATGCAGGAAATCATCAACCTTCCTCAGCTTTCACCACAGACATCTGCCTTGGACATGCTGACATTTCTGCATAACAATGGGCTTCAAGAGGTATATCCCAATCTGTGGATTGCTCTTCGTATTGCACTGACTCTCCCTGTCACAGTTGCCTCTGCTGAGCGAAGCTTTTCAAAGCTCAAACTCATCAAAACGTACATGCGTTCATCAGTGGGGCAGGAACGTTTAAGTGGTCTGGCTGTCATCAGCATCAATGGGGACGTGGCTCAGAAACTGTCATACGATGACCTGATAGCTGATTTTGCAGCAAGGAAATGTAGGCGTGTGCCTCTGTAGGGCCTCTGACAACTGATGATAGTGAAAATGTTTAATATAGTTCTATAGAATAGCAGAATGGTCTCTTTATAGAGATATAGTCCCTCTGTTGAGTAAATTCTACTGTGCAGTTATGTATGGTTATTTGCAGTTTAAAATGTGCACTTTAAAATTCATACTTATACTGTTATTTATTTCCTCTTTAACCTTTTTTTGCACTTTTAACTTTCTGTGTTTACATTGTTCAGTTCAAAATCTGTGTTTTTAGTAATTGTGGTGGTTTTTGGTATTTAAAATTTTGAACCATTATATTATTTATTTCTTTTCATATTTGATGCCTTTGTTCATGTAAAATTATTTGTTTGCAGCAGTTATTTTGTAAGTAAAGTAAAGAGAACCAAAACTAAGAAATTCTGAATTATTGTTATTCCTTGGGGTGGGGTGGGGTGGGGTGGGGTGGGGTGGGGGGCACCACCAAGCATTTGTGCTTAGGGCACCCAAATGGCTAGTGCCGGCCCTGTCTCACGTGTAGAAGTACGGGAATACTGAGAGCTCTGTTATAAGTGACTGTTCTGTTAATAAAACTAAGTAAATAGTCATCTTCAGCCTACTTCCTTGACAGCAGCCACCACCCGGCCACAGGAGGACATCAACAGGAGGGCCAATCGAAGAGTCCACCAGGTCCGTGTGCAAGGGGCACAAACGTGTAGTTGTCATTTGTGAGATATGTAAGCACTGAGATGGAAATTTAAGACACACTGTACCCGTGTGATTTTATTTTGTCAGTTTTTGTTTTTCTTTCTGTCACATTCACCACAATTCACTACACTTGCACTACACCACAGTTCAATTCCAGTGTCATCAGTTATATGTGTGTTATGCAGTGTTGTGCAATTTACTTCCAAACTGTAATACATTAGGTATTACTTGTTACTGTTATTTAAAAGTAATTCATTACCTTACAATATTACTGTCTCAGAATTGTAATGTGTTACATTACTCATGTATTAGTTTTGAGTTACTTTCACCAAAATAACTATACAGAAGTAGAACTTAACTTTGGGGCTGTAACGATATGCAATATGAAACCGAAATCGCGATTTGCCACACTCAGATCCACGAACCTACAGAATCGCGACACACCTTCCAACTCCAGCGTTATTCTCCTTACCGTCCAGATCCAATGCTACCACATCTTTAAGAGGGCACATCATCAGCTTTTAGGAGCTTTATTATCGCCACCCTTACTACATGAACGTGTCACCACCGCATCAAAAACATGATTGCGTGAGGAAAACATGAAAATACCACCTAAACATAGCCTAACTGTTTAGAAAGAAAACACGAATAGCCTAATGCCTAAGTTACAGTAAAAGTGTTGATCTAAATGTCTGTGAAATTGGTTATTTTAACAAAAGGTTTTCTTTATTCTTTTGTTTTATTATCACGCTTGCATAGATGGGTCATTTTTGACCCATGTGTGTAAACTTGAGGTATTAACACAAAACCTAGGAAATATTAAAATGTGAATTTGTGTGCTTTGAAAACAAGATATTTTGAATATTCATAAATAATGGAATTCATAGATCATGGAATATTAAATGCTGAAATAAAGCGATTTCAAAAGACAAAAAATGCCAAGCCATGCATGAAATAACATAGGAAATAAATGTGGATCTTTTTAGTAGTGCATTAGAATGGGTTTGCATAGCTTGTGCATCAGAGGGTTAAATGGGAATTGAGCACCCGCTCAGATGTTCTTACGGACTATAACAGCCAGTCTGATACTGCGCTGTAGTTTTTTACTCACATAAAGTCAAATAGTTGCGGCGTTCTTGTCGGATCCAATAAAGAAGGCACAGCACAGTTTTTTCAATTTCAGTAATCTAGCATCAGAAGGCAGGTTGTGCAGCGACTGTGTTTTCCAAAACGCAACATTTTGCATTCCTCAAAGTCATATTTACTCGATCCAGTGTTAGCGTAACACATGTTATTTACCTGTTACCTACCTAATTTCACCTATAAAAGGAAGTTTTCAGTTCTGAACCTTACAGGATATTCTTATAGTTTGATAACATCTTATATGTCTAAAGCCCAAGGAAAATGTGATTTATCAATTCACGAATTATTTTAATGTAATTTATTGTTAATGTTTTTTTTATTGTTTTTGTTTGTCTGTTTATGCTCCTAAGGCTGACATATCATCAGTATGCAATTTTCTGCTCTTCTCTTCATCTCATCTATATCAGCAGCAGTTGGTGAGTTATTACTCTCATTGATAAATTTATCTTTGAGCATTTCTCATGTATACAATACATTCTTAAAAACAATCACAGTTAGAAAGTAGTTTGCTAGACCTAAAGCAAAATGTACAAAGATCCTAATTCTGCCATAATTAAACCTGTTAATATGGTATTTAATTTGTACAGTTTATTTAGATTTGCTAAATAATTTAGATTTTTTTAGATGTGTTTTTGCTTATTTACTGGGTTAAAGCAACCTTTTGCCATTTACATGATAATTTAGCATGACTCATGGTAACACTTTATGTTCAGTTATGTTCAATTAGTTAATGATGCTCTAATAATTTATAAAACATGACTATACAGTCATAAATATTTAAGTGATATGCTAACATTTTATGAATGTTTTGTTAATTCAGTTATAAATCATGTATATGAACTAATCAGTTTCAAAACACTACTATACATTCATAAATGATTAATAAAAATGTATGAAAACTACGGTGGCCGAGATAGTTCAACGTGTTGCAACCTAAAGAAGACGCATGCAAATACAAAAAAACGTGTGCAAATATAAAAATGCATACAAATACAAAAAACATCCACAAATTAAGAAAAACATCTTCATCAGTTCCACAACACACGTGTGCTCCAAGTACTCACAACACAACCAAATACACAAAACGTAGTGAAAAACCTCACAACACAACCAAATACAGAAACGCTGCAAGTAACACAGAGCACAACAGAAATGTTTCTGGACAACCATGTGACGGACCCGACTGGGACTTGCTTATTGCTCGTGAGCTTCCCTATGCCCTACTGTAACGGTCACCAGGTGGAGTGCCCTTGAGAGTCACCAGAGGGCACTCCACACCAGATGTTTCATTCACAACTATATTTCCCAGAACTCACTGCCTGGACTCATCACTGATCACAGTCACCGGTATCTCATTTACTGATTGCATTCACCTGTGTCTCATCCTGTTAGTCTGTCTATATATACCTGGTTTTCACATTCACTGATGGCGAAGTCTTGTTGTACTGTGTGTCTGCATTTCCGAGTGTTTTCTTGTGTTTGTCTTCGGTTTTTGACTTTGGATTGTTCCTGGATTTTGATTATTGCTGCCTGCCCTGACCTCTGCCTGTTTTTCGTATATACACATGAAAAATACATTTACATATACAAATTCATGTCAAAATTTTTTGTATGTGTTTGTCATAGACATGAAATAGCATAACTAAGTGGCTGTAATGCCAGCACTGACTTTTGATAAAACTAAAACATTACATCTGAAAGAAAACATGCAAATATACATTTAAAATTATTAAGTCTTACTTACAGGTTGTGGCCCAACAACTGCTGCATCTGGTTTTTAAAGTTGGAACTGCTTCATGTTTTAGTAACAGTTTCTTGTTGAATCCGGCATTGAATTCGTGGAGATTCTGGAAGCTGTCTTTCGTAAAATGCACACCACCGAGAGCTAAATAATGAATAAATTACGATTGTAATTTTCAGGAACATAAGGAACCATTCAGGAACCATTGTTGACGAACTACAAACAACTGGGTGAAAATAACACACTTTCGATGAGCCGCAGAAATATGGCCACCCAGACAGCAAACTGACATTAAATCAACGTGGAAACGACGTCTCTCATGACATTGAAACAACGTTGATTTGCTCATCGAATTAACGTTGAACCAACGTCAGACGCGGCATTCTTCAAAGCTAAATGAAATCGAAAATTGGTTTGCTTTCATAACGTTGAAACAACGCGTTGATTTCAGGTTGATTTTCCGTTAGTTTTGAAAGAATGACGCATCTGACGTTGGTTCAACGTTAATTCGATGAGCAAAACAATGTCAGATCAACGTTGTTTCGATGTCATATTTCCACGTTGATTCAATGTCAGTCTGCTATCTGGGCATGCCCTTTTTTGCATATTTCCGGAAGGGAGGGTTGATGTATGGGTTAGTTATGGGTTGATGTATGGGTTAGCAAATGTATGGGTTAGTGACGTATGAAACCCGTTTTAGTCCCATTCGAGTCGTTTTTGTAGGCATTAAACTTCCTGGTTAATTTTGGCACCCATTTTTGATTTAGTCTTAGTCTTCATCTTCAGACGAAAATGTTTATTGGTCTTATTTACATTTCAGTCATTTTGTCTTTCATAGTTTTAGTCTAGTTTTAGTTGACGAAAAGTCATTGCAATTTTTGTCAACTTTTAGTCATTACTTTTAGTCAAACTGCAGTTACCGAGATTAATTTTGGTAGCGATTTATATGTAGTCTTTACTATTTAGAAAAAAAAAATGTCATTTAATTTTTTCTCTCTAGGCCAATTCAATTAAGCTTATGAGAAATTGAAACGTTTTGTTGACATTGCACTCTTTAGCAGTAGCACTTGTGCAATCCATTTTCCTTAGTTCAGTGGTTCTCCAATTTTTCTCCAGTCAAACCTTTCCATAAGGGACAATATTTGCCCTTTTAATCGATTTTTCCTGTTAATTTTTTTACCTTTATAAATGTCTTTATAAAATAAATAATGCTTTAAGTAAGTCACCAAATCATGCATTCATTCACTAACGAAGCAAGTTGCTGGAGTTATATGAACGGATCATTCAATCTCACGATTCGTTCAAAGCCACAGATTCGTTCACAAATGTTCGTACCCTTTTGTTTGTTAAACTGATGTATAAAATCAATGAATTTCAATGTATAAAATCGATATTCAGAAAACATTGCATTCTTGCTCGTATGATCAACATTACAGTTTTTTTCGATTGCTAAACCACAGTGGAGCACAACTGGAGCTACATGTGCAAAACTCTAACTACAGTCTGCACAGCAGCAGTTCATGTGGACCAAACTCTAGATCGTTTTTCATTGCTTGAACACAGTTTTCAAAACTCTACACACTTATCCCATGACTTTAACCACAACCTGCACAACACTGTGGATTTACAGCACTTTGTTCAAATGCTAACACACTGCTGTCAAAACTGTGAACCACTCATTCAAAACAGAATAAATTTCAGCCTTGTGCCTTTCACACACTGCTGACTTTCAAACAATTTCAGCTGAAAGGATGAAAACTTGTGGCCTAATGCTTGAGAGAGGCAGGGTTACAATATTACAGTATGTACATTTAGAGTCTACCTTTTTTTCTCATTACCGTAATTCTGTAAATTACTGTACTACAGACTATCGAAGCAAACTGCTAATTTTCAATTGTTATGTTCTAAAAATGTCAAAATATCAAATGAAAAAATGGCACTGTTTTCTTTGAAGAAAATATTACTTTGTATGAAGTCTGCGTCACACAGCCCGCCAAAAGGGGCGTGGCTACAGTGTATAAAGGTCGCTCTCCCAGCTCGTTCGTTGATTCTTTTTCATTCAGCGAGCTACACGCATCCGCTGTCCTGGGAAGAAGCCGCCGTCGTCGAGAAGGCAACCTCTAGCGAGCTCCGGAGTCTGAGGAAGCCGGCCGTCTGCCACCTTCAGCCGCCCAGCAAGCTAGCGCCATCCGACGCGTATCCTTTTCTATTCCATTCTAAAAGAGCACGAGCGTCTTTTTAAAGATGCCTCGTAATTCCTGCGGCTCATGCCGCTCTCCGCTCGAGGATGGAGACCGCCACCCCATCTGCGCTCTCTGTCTCGGAGTGGAACACGCAGAGTTTGCCCTCGCCAACGGAGGATGCGACCACTGCGAGGACCTGCCTCTGTCATCCCTGCGGGCTCGACTACAGGCGGTCAAAACCGCTCCAGCGCCGCCTCTCACTTCGCCGCGGAAGAAGAAACGCCGCTCCCAGAGGCCGCCGGAGCCCTCTGCGGATCCATGTGAGCCGCCGCCGCCGCCCACCGACCGCTCTCCCTCTCCGCCCCTGCCGGACTTACAGTTGCCGCCGAGTGGCCGCTCTGTCGCCTCCGATGACACCGCGGATGAGAAGGACTCTTGTTCGCTGCACGCTTCTGACAGCGAGGAGTGGTCGTCGATCAGCTCATCGACGAGAGAGTCTGCGGGGACCCGCGCCGGCATTGAAGAGGAACTAACGCGCCTCCTTTCACAGGCCGTTAGCTGCCTGGGTCTCGAGTGGTCTCCTCCCCCTGAGCAACCACCGAACCGCATGGATGGGAAGTTCCTGCACCGGCGCCCGGCCCCCGCCTGCAGCCGGGCTGCACCATTCCTGCCTGAGTTACACAGCGAGCTCACGAAATCCTGGAATGCTCCTCTTTCGGCTCGTAATCGCTCCGATGTGTCCGCTTCGCTGCGCTCAGTGGATGGAGCCGCCGATAAGGGTTATACTGCCATGCCGCCCGTCGAGGACTCGGTCGCCGCTCATCTCTGCCCGCCCTCTGCTAGATGGCGTTCTTCCCATACGCTTCCCTCTAAAGCGTGCAGAGCGACCTCAAACTTCCATGCCCGCGCCTATTCCGCCGCCGGTCAGGCCGCTTCAGCGCTGCATTCGATGTCTGTCCTCCAGGTGCTCCAGAGCGACATCTTGTGCGAAATGGCGAGCAGCGGGAGGCACCCGCCCGTCCTTTCGGATCTGAGGAGCGCTACGGATCTTTCCCTTCGCGCCACTAAAGCCGCCGCACAAGCCCTGGGGAGATGCATGGCCGCCCTCTGTGTCGCCGAGAGACACTTATGGCTCACGCTTACCGACATGGGAGAGTCAGAACGCGCCGTGTTCCTCAACGCGCCTATTTCTCCTACCGGGCTCTTCGGATCTGCCGTCACGGGCATCGTTGACCGCTTCTCCGAGGTACAGAAAGCTACTCAGGCCATGAACTTGTTCCTGCCCCGCCGCTCGAGCTCTTCGACGGGCCGCTCTCACGAGCCGCCTGCCAGAACCCCACAGCAGCGCCCGCCTCAGCAAGCTCAGCAGCCCCAGCGTAGACAGGGCGGCCGCCCTCGCTCAGACAGCCGCCGCAGACAGCCTCCTCCCCGGGGGCCTCGACCCAAGATCGCGCTGAAGCCCGATCAACAGAAGTCTGCCTAGCACAGCTGA